CCCCCCCCCCCCCCCCCCCCCGTTTTGGTTTTTCAAGACAGGGTTTCTCTGGCCTCGAACTCACAAAGATCCACCCCGCCTCTGCCTCCTGAGTGCTTATAACGATGTTAATGATGTCCAAAACTACAGTGAAAACGGTTACAAGTAACGGTTGTAGCAAATGACAGGAAAATTCCTCCTAAATGCCGCAGATGAACAACTGCCTCTGGAAAGGTGTTACGCCTGTGGGCCTGGGAATGAAGCTCAGTAGTTGAATGAGTGTTTGTCTAGCTAGCAAGCCTGAGGCCTAGAGTCAGTCCAGGGAGCTAGAGAGGTGGGTTGCAATGAGCCTTGCTGGTAAATGGTGTAGATCATCATCATCATCATAATCAACTACATGTAAGGGCTGGTGAGATGACTCAGTAGTTACGAGCACTGTCTGCTCTTCTAGAGGATCCTGGTTCAGGGTTTCAGCGTTCAGGTCCCAGCACCTATGTGATAGCTCACTAGAGTCCCAGGAAGGTCTGACGCCCTCTCCTGGTCTTCATTGGTACTGCACACACATGGTGCACAAACATACAGCCAAAACACCCAAACAAGAAAATAATGAATAAAATCTCAAAAATTTTTTAAAAAGTCAACTAAATGTAAATGTTGTTTGGTTGTTTCTTGCTCCTTACAGCTGTCTTCCCCTGACAGATACATTTTGTGTGTGTGTGTATGTGTGTGTGTGTGTGTCTTGTATGCATGTGTGCATATACTCATTGGGTGTGCATGCATTTGTGTAAATTTATGCAGAGGTTGATACTTAGTGCCTTTCTCAATTCCGAGTCACCTTATTTTGCTGGCTCCCTGACTGAACCTAGAACCAGGCTAGGTTGGCCTGACCAGTGAGCTCCAGGGATCCGCCTGCCTCTGTCCATCTCTGTTTTCCTGGTGCTAAGATCACAGACACACACCAACACACTCAGGCTCCAAATCTAGGTTCTCATGCTTGAACAGCAGGCGCTCTGCTGACTGAGGCACAGGGGGAGACAGTTTCCTTAGTCCTGTTAATTTTTACTAGCAGCTCCTCAGGGAGGGGTGGGATCTCATCAACCCTCCCTCACATCCACGTGAAATGTTGAGAGGCCCAATACCCTCCTGTGAGAGCTCCCGAGTGAACGGATGTGTCATGTCAGAAGACATCTTTTTGCTGCATGTCTCCCCGTGATCTTATATTATTCCTTCTCCTCTCCTCTTTGATGTTCCCTGAGCCTTGGAGGGGGTGATATAAAAAGTATGGAATGTGCTGGGCAGTGGTGGTGCACGCCTTTAATCCCAGCACTTGGGAGGTAGAGGCAGGCGGACCTCTGTGAGTTTGAGGCCAGCCCGGTCTACAAAGTGACTTCCAGGACAGACACAGACAGACAGACAGACAGACAGACAGACAGACAGACAGGAAGGAAGGAAGGAAGGAAGGAAGGAAGGAAGGAAGGAAGGAAGGAAGGAAGGAAGGGGAAAGTCATAGCTACCTGCAGCCGAGAGAGCAGAGAGGGGTTGGGTGGACTTGTGCCCTTTATTCAGTCTTGAGACTTCAGTGGGAGTGTCATCCAGAAACTCAGAGACGTCATGGATGCAGTGTCTGAGCTGAGCACCCCGTTGCCTTGCCAGGTTGACATAAACTTAACCATTACAAACTATCATGGAGCATGTGGGTGACTATAACTATTCAGAATCTAAGCAGGAATAGGAAAACACTTTATTATTTTTAAGAGCTTTATTAACATGTAGTTAATGCACATATTTGTAGTGTACAGTGTGTCATTTCAGGTTATGTATATATAATATGTAATGATTAGATCAGAATTGATTGTCATATCTGTTTCTTCATACTGTTTCTTTGATGATGGGGTCATTAAAAGTCCTCTCTCAGACACGCCTTTAATCCCATCACTCAGGTAGCAGAGGCAGGGAAATCTCTGAGTTTAAGGGCAGCCTGGTCTACATAGTGAGTTCAAGCCACACAATACTATTAGTGTTGTTGAGAGAGAGAGAGAGAGAGAGAGAGAGAGAGAGAGAGAGAGAGAGAGAGAGAAGGAAAAAGGGAAATCCTCTCTTGTGGTCTTTGGGGCTGGTTGGTCAGTGTCCACCACTGTTGCCTGTGCTGCAGAGGAACATTAGAATTTAGTCTTTCTGTGTATATGCACGTCTTACCTTCCCTTACCACCTCCTTAGGTTCCTATTCTAGTTTCTTCTTCTTTGAGATCTTTTCTTTTAAAGTCTTAATATAAATGCACGCATGTGGCATTTGTCTTCCACGCATGTGGCATTTGTCTTCCTGTAGCTGATTTACATTAGAGTCGTGCCGTGTGGATCATTTTGCAGTCTTTCATCCCTCAGCCGTGTGCTGGTCCGCAGTCCTGGCACACGTAACTGCCTCCTGGAGCTGTGATTGCTAGCCTCTCTCTTCTTTCGACAGGGTTAAGTTAGAAGACGGAGGACTCCCTGAGAGTCTCATAGTAAGCAATGGGGGCGACTCCCACTTTACACTTAGAAAAGCAAAGAAGCGGACTTTGAAGTTGGTGGAGGATGAAGAAACGGACCTGGGTTACAGGTGCTCAAAGAAGCAGTGGAAAAAGCAAGAGGACAGCAGCCACAATGACAAGGCCTTGGACCTGGAGACAAAGCCTGTTCAGGATGAAGTGGGAAGGAAAAGCAAGAGAAAAAGCAAAGTGACAGGCACCCCGGAAGAGGAGGAGGAAGAGGCCAGAAAGAAGTCGCCAAAAAGAAAGGAGAAATGTGAACCTAAGAAGCAGACCAAGGCCGCCAAGCCTCCCAAAACACAGGCGGCCAAGGAGTGGAACTGTGGCTCGCCCAAGGGCTCCCCCAAGGGCTCCCCCAAAGGCTCCCCCAGAAGCAGCATCACTAAAACCCGGAGGAAAAGCAGTGCAGGGCTAAAAGGGAGCCCAGGCTACCTGTCAGACTCGGATTCCTCTCCAGAGTCGGTCAGAGATGACCACTGCAGCGTCACAGTGCAGGGGCTCACCTTTTCAGAGAAACTCACAGCTGAGCTGTTGAAAGATGGACCTGCTACAAAAACTGCAGCTGCCAGCAGACAGTCCTCAAAGGGCGGCTTTCCCTTCAGCTCTGGCAAGAGCAAGGCCACCAGAACCTCGTCATCCAGTTCAGACTCGAGTTCAGAGTCGGAAGACCAGTTTGTGGTGTCCAAGAACATCTCTGAGGGCGCCTCGGACTTCTTAAAGACAGCTGGCCTCTTTGCAGGGCAAGGGTGTCCAGGGCTCACATTGCAGACGCCGGGTGTCACGGGATGGAAGCCTTCTGACTCAAGCAGAGGCAGACAAGCTTCTGGNGCCTTCTGACTCAAGCAGAGGCAGACAAGCTTCTGGTCCTCCTTCCAGTGTACCCGTCCCCACCAGTTTGGGAAGAGGCTGGGGACGAGGAGAGGACTTCTTGTTTGGGAAGGGACTGAGGGGCCGGGGTGTACGGGGCCGAGGTCGAGGCCGCGGGCATGCTGTCTCCTGCATCTTAAATAGAAGTTCTGAGAGTCAGAAGCAGAAGCAGTTAAATGACATCCTAACAAATTCATCCACCGTGATCCAGGTAAGTATTTACTGTATGTGAGTTGGCCTCCTCTGTTCCCCATGGAGTGTATCTCAGCTCTGTGGCATGGCATGGGTTCTGCTTTTCTCTCCAGTAATGAAGTCACATGACTGTTTTCCAGAATCCTGTAGAGACACACAAGAAGGACTATAGTCTGTTGCCACTGTTGGCAGCTGCCCCTCAAGTCGGCGAAAAGATTGCGTTTAAGGTATATGTTAAAACAGCACCAGCTCTAACAAAGGCAAGATTCCCATCCCCCACATACACACAAAGCTTACTTAGTGAGTCTTGCTAAGTAATGGTCTCCAGAAACTGTCTGCCGATGTCAGAAGTCATGGTGGGGCCCCAGGTGGGTGGGAGTGTGCGCCTCTTCATGGCCCCTGTTCCTGGGGTAGGAGGGAGCAGCCCCAGGAGGGTGAGGGTCTAAGGGGCAGTATGGACCTGTAAGATTTGTCTTTTTTTTTTTAGCTTCTGGAGCTCACGTCGGACTACTCTCCCGATGTCTCTGACTACAAGGTAAGGCTGCCTCTATGAACATCATAAAGTCGGCTGGTTTTGCGGGGTGCACCTGTTGTCCAAGTTATTCAGGAGGCTGAGACAGGAAATGGTTTGAGCCTAGGAGGTCACAGCTAGGCTGGGCAATATAGTGAGCCTGCACCTCTTGAAAAACAGAGAAAATTAAACTGTCACCATGTCAGAAACTTGTCCAGTGTAGCAGCACCCTCCTTTAATCCTGGTACCCAGGAGGCTGAGGCAGGAGAATTTTAAATCTGAAGTGAACTGGGCATACATAGAGAGGTCTGTTTCAAATGTTTTTAAATAGATGGAGTATGGGGCTGGAGAGATGGCTCAGTGGTTAAGAACACTGGCTGCTCTTCCAAAGGTCCTGAGTTCAATTCCCAGCAACCACACCATCTATAATTTGATCTGATACCCTCTTCTGGTGTGCAGGCTTATATGCAAATAGAGTACTCATATATAAAAAATTAATTAAATCTTTTTTAAAAAATGAAGTGTTGGTATATTTGAATAATACTTCATGGCTAATATAGGCACTTTTGGTAAATAATGTCATAACAGAGGATGAGGTTCTGTGGACGTTTGCGAGGGTCACTGTGAAGTCTCCCAGTCTTCTGTGGCTGACACCCGAGAAGAAAACAGGGTGAGAATGATGAGCTCACCTGAAGCACAGGAGCTGTTGTGCTGCTGAGGGCCAAACTCAGGGCCTGTCTCAAAAATAAATAAATAAGTAATAAAAAGCCCTGCTGGCCTGTGCCCAGAGAACCAGAGTAGGTACTGAGTGGTGGGACTGGAGAGGTGGCTCAGCATGAAGAAGTGCTTGCATGCTTTTTTTAGAAAGGACTAGTGTTAGCCAGGCAGTGATGGGCGCCTCTATAATCTCAGCATTCAGGAGGCAGAGGCAGGTGGATCTCTGTGAGTTGGAGGCCATCCCAGTCTACAAGTCAAGTTCCAGGTCAGCCAGGACTTTTACCCAAAGTAAACTTGTCTTACAAAGCTCATTGGTTAGCCTCAGTATGTGGCCCCACAGCTGTCTCACCATTGCCGCCCATATGGGCGGAGCAATGGGTCCTCTTTTTAAGTTTTTGTTTGCTTTTTGAGACAAGGTTTCTTTGTGTAGCCCTGACTGTCTTGTCTTGGAACTTGCTCTGTAGACCAGACTAGCTTCGAACTAGAACTCAGAGATTTGTCTGACTCTACCTCCCAAATGCAGGGATTAAAGGGAGCACCACCACGCCCAGTTTAAGTTTTTTTTTTTTTTATGAGTTATTTTTATTTTATGTGCACTGGTTTTTGATATGTTTCTGCCAATGCAAAAGTCCAGATCAGACCAGATTAAAAGCAGATAAATGCAGGTTTATTGGGTGTAGCTCTCAGATGAGGTCACCGGACCAGAGAAGTCATGTGCCTGAACTAAGGTAGGGAGGTTTTATAGATGAGGGTTAATGGCATGCCCACCAGGTGCTGGGATTGTACCCAAGTATGGTCAGAAAACAAGCCCCTGGGTGGGCTGGTCATGTCAGAAAGGCAGATTGCATCAGCTACCAGAAATGGGTAATTGGGCTTTTGGCGCCATTTCTTTGTTGAGAAGTTTCTCAGTGCCCGTGGTGGGGTGGGGTGCTGGGTAAGTAGGATGGACCAGGTTTCCTAGCAACGTGCCTTCCTGTCCCTGCTGGGGGTGGGGCTATGCATATGGCTTAGAGTGGCCCCTGCAGTGCTAGGAACCCAAGCACCACTGTTTCTGTGTTGCTCTCCCAATGAAAGCTGTGATGCTGGTCCTCGCTTGAACACATTGCTTTAGCCTGCCTTCCTCCTTTCACCCCATCAATTTTGGGGACCTGTTATAATTGTTTTCCTTTTGTCAGCTGCTGTATGTATCCATCAGTCATGACTAACGTTTATCTATTTTTACCTTTAACGATATTTCAGTATATTCAGGTAGAATTGCTTCTTTCTATTCCCCTACATGTTGATTTGTTGAGATAAATTTATATTACAAAAAAGTAATTTTACTGTCTACTTACTTAGTGTCCTTTAGTGCTTTACGTGGAGATTTTTGACTTGGTCTTTTATTTTTGGAAGGAAGGAAAAATTCTAAGCCACGACCCAGAGACCCAGCAAGTGGAAATAGAAGTCCTCTCATCCTTACCAGGTGCGTCTTTAGAAGCAGGTGTGGTGCGCTAGCCTCCATCCCACAGTGCCTTCTGAGCAGTCTCACACCTAGAGCTGTGCCCTCCCTTGGCCTCCACTCACCTGGCCCCAGGATAAGTACCATTCTCTGATCTCCACCACCTGTCAGCACTCTGTAGCCTTGGGAACCTGTGCACCTTTTCCTTGGATGCAGACTTTGGGCTGCTTGTTTTTTGTTTGTTTGTTTGATTGGTTGGGTTTTGTTGTTGTTGTTTGTTTGTTTCTCTGTGTAACAGCCCTAGCTGTCCTGGAACTAGCTCTTGTAGACCAGGTTGGCCTCGAACTCACAGAGATCCACCTGCCTCTGCTTCCCAAGTGCTGGGATTAGAGGCGTGCGCCACCACCGCCCGGCTGGCTGGTTGTTCTTATCACTGTCATACACTTTGACAGGAGATTATAAGTATTGGTGAATGTGAATTGCAAGAACAGTTGCTTTTGGAAACCTAAACTGAATGCTTAGTTAGGGAGGTTACAAGAAAACTGCAGTTCAACTGTTTGCATAGATCAGCTATAAAAGATCAAAAGGAAACTCAGCAATGGTGTTTGCCTTTAATCCAGCCCTTGGGAGGCAGAGGCAGGTGGATCTCTGTGAATTCAAGCCAGCCTCATCTACAAGTAAGTTCCAGGACAGTCAGAGCTACACAGAGAAACCCTGTCTCAAAAACAACGAGAGAGAGAAAGAGAGAGAGAGAGAGAGAGAGAGAGAGAGAGAGAGAGAGAGAAACAAAGTTGTCAGAGCTGAGCTGCTGCATGGTATTAGGAGTGCAGAGGATCTGAGCTTTGAAGGGAGCGTGCCTGTTCACAAGGCACCGAATGACGTGTGGAAGCTGCCGGAGGCTAGTACCCACTGCGCACAAAGAGGTAGCCGCTGGAGGCTAGTAACCACCACGCACAAAGAGGTAGCCGCTTTTGTTTTCTCGCCTGCTCTTCTAGATCCAAGTACACATTGTGTGTTTTATAGGTTTTTTTTTAATTTCTTTATACAGTAAAGATGTTTAAAGTTTGGGGGTTTTGTTGTTGTGTTTGTTTTAATTTCAGGTTTTTGGGTTTTGTTTTTGGAGAATTTCATACATGAGACTGTATTCACATCATTTTTACCCGTCTTCCACCTTCCACCCCCTCTAATTTCTCCTGTGTCCTGTCCCCCCACTCCCAGTTTTTTCTTAAAACATGTATTTTGTGTGTGTGTGTGTGTGTGTGTGTGTGTGTGTATTTAGGCATGCACTAGTCAAGAGAACTTGCAAGAATTAATTCTTCTGTCCACCGCGTGGGTCCTGGGGACCACACTCAAGTCCTGGGCTTGTGCAGCAAGCACTTTTGTTTGCCAAGCCCTTTCGCTGCTCTTCCTCCCCATGTTTTGAGCTGGAGTCTCGTAGATCCCTGTGTAGAACTTGCTCTGTAGCCAGTGATGACCTTGAACTTCTGAGTTTCCTCCGGAGTGCTAGGATTACAGATGACCACAACCATGCCTGGTTTTAAGGGGTGCTGGGAATTGAACCTCAGGCTTTATGCATGCTAGATAAATACAATGCCAACTGAGCTGCATCCCTGGTGAGGTTTTCAATGTTTTGATGATTTTTTTTTTTTTTCTGAGACAAAGTTTCTCTATGAAACAGTTCTGTCTGTCCTGGAACTTGCTCTGTAGACCAGGCTGGCCTCAAATTCTGTTTGTATGGTTTTAGCTTGTATGATCATTTTTCTGATTTCATATTATTGTGCAAGGCTGAAACCTGCTCATGTTTCCGAGTTTAAACATACATGAATTTTTGAAAACATCAGCATCCCATACCTTCCCTTGTTAAACAAAGATTATCTTTGGGGATTATTTTGTGGTTGCACATTTTGCATTGGATGTACTCTGGGTTTTTTCAAACCCATGTCATTCTGATGAAGGGACGCTTATCTCTGATAAATGATAAGACAATCCTGTTGCTGGCACAGGCCGTGTCTTATAAAGCAGTACACCACACTTTCCTGTATGTCCCCAGCCTTCACATGAGTTTCCCAGTGATTGGAAATCCTCGTGGGGAACATTTTAACCATGGAGATATGACTTACTGTCCTTCTACCCTCTGGTTTCAGCTGTGAAAGAACCTGGGAAGTTTGATTTGGTCTATCACAATGAAAACGGAACCGAGGTGGTGGAGTATGCCGTGACACAGGAGAGGCGGGTAGGCGAGCTGCTCTAAAAACTTTTGACTGATGGGGGGAGGGGGCGGAGTATGAAAGGTGACATTACAGCTTCCTGAACTGCTTGTGTTAAAACCCTGGAGGATCGGGGCTCTGGGGCATTTAATCTTCCTGTGGAATAGCAAACAAGAGACAGGTTCCAAAACAAGGTGCTACCACGGACCTCCCAGAGCCCACGTGACAACACACACACCTTGTATAAAAGCATAGTGCTTACTGAAAATTCTACTTGTGTAGGTTCCCGTAGGAAAGAGGCGTATGTCAGACTTTATATTACCAAATACCCTGAGAGCCACTGCTGTAGCTTCAACTTAACCACGTGACCAAACTCAGCTCAAGAAGAAATATGAACTCAGAAACCTCTGTCATCACAAGTTGTTACTGTCCCTCAGGTTCCCCAGTCCCGGCCTAAGTGGCATAGACGGCATACAGAATGACATAACGTGATTCTGTCCTCTGACACTCTATTTTAATGTTAAATTATACTTATTATTGTGTGTGCATATGCCACCACATGCATGTGAAGGTCAGAAGCCAACTTTCAATTGTCTGTTCTTGCCTTCCACCATGTGGATCCTGGGGATTGAACACAGGATGTCAGGCTTGGCAGCAGGCACCTTTACCTACTGAGCCATCTTGCCAGCCCTCACGTACGGGACAGAGCACATGGTCTATGTGTTTCCCTCTGTTCAGAGCTAGCAGTCAGTTGCTGGTGTCACGTCCACCCTCGACCAGCAAGGAAAAACGCAACACCCTGAGCTCTTCTTGCAGCAGTTTTCAGGACTTTATTTACAGCAATCTATCTCCTTCTCCTTTTCTCCTTTTCTCCTTTTCTCCTTTTCTCCTTTTCTCCTCCTCCTCTTCCTCCTCCTCCTCCTCCTCCTCCTCCTCCCTCCCTCCCTCCCTCCCTCCCTCTCTCTCTCCTTCTTCTCTCCTCTCTGTCTGGGCAAACCTCTCCCAGCACTTAAGTAGGCATGGGCTGCCAACCCAGAACTGCCAGGTGGGCACTGCCCATAGGAACACGCATATGCAGGCAGCTGATAATCATTGCGTGATCATAGCATAGGTCAGGCTTTAGCCATCTCAGGAGTTGATTATACATCTCCATCAGGTGTGACACCACGCAGCTCGCTACATGCTGGCAGAAGCTTCTTGGCAGCTTGATTATAGTTAAGAATGCTTCCTCTCTGTAATCATATTTGAAACGTTTTGCTTATTTAGCCATTATATGTATTTCAGTGCTGAAAACTCTTGTTTTGTCTGAACTCTAAGCCTATAGAGACCCAGCCAGACTGTGTTTTAAGATAGAAGAGCCTCTTAGGATTTCTTTCTAGAAACATATTCTTAGGGTTTGTGAAAGTATCATCTCCTATACTTTCTTGTTTGGTTATTCTTTTTGTTTGTTTGTTTGTTTTGTTTTGTTTTTTGGAGACAGGGTTTCTTTGTAGCTTTGAAGCCTGTCCTGAAACTTGCTCTGTAGACCATGCTGGCCTCGAACTCACAGAGAACTGCCTGTCTTTGTCTCCCAAGTGCTGGGATTAAAGGCTTCATCTCCTATACTTCTATGTTTGCAATATTTTTTTATAATTTTTGTTGAAATATGTTCCTAGAAAAATTGTGAGCAGAAAACCTGTAGTTTTTCTTTTTTGACACTAGATGGCTCTCATCACTCACCCTTACCCAGTGCTTGGGGCATCTCTCTTGGTAAATTGTGTGGTAGTTCCTGTCTTAGGCAGACTAGGGTAAGTTAACTAGAGAGTGGCCCAGAAAGGTGATCAGCCACCTCGTGCTGGCCATTAGGCCCCGTCTAGCCCTCAGAGCCAGCCTCACCAAAAATGCCGTTTTCCAGAGTGGAGGCGTGGGAATTTAGAACTATAGGAAAGAATAGGAAGATGCGAACAAAAATAGTAAAACATAGAAACATGTAGGATGGGATCGGGAGGGAATTTTTCAGTGAGTACTAAAAATTCACACGTGTTTAATTTCCAAATGGTTAATATATTCCTGCCCTCAGAAGGTAGGAGTGAAACAAAAGACTGCTTTAACACACAAACTGAAACTCAGGGCCACGTTCCTTGCTCATTACCTAGACTCACGCCCTAGACACTCTAGGCAAACCATTTCCTGGGTGGAATCCCAAATTATTTCCATAAAGGGAACTAGAACTTAGTTGGATCCTTAGACTTTTGTTTTATGTAAGGAACCAACTACTTCCCTATTTCAGCACAAGGGCTGGCAACTAGCCACACCTCTGGAAGATAGTCTTGAGAGAGCAGAACTCGATTTACATATAGGTGGATCTTTGCTTGAGGTAGAAGCACAACAATCTCGAATGAACTAAAAACCAGTTCCAAACTCTCTGACCTTTGAGCCTCCACAGTCTATAGGCAAATCCTTTTTTTTTTTTTTTTTTTTTTTGGTTTTTTGAGGCAGGGTTTCTCTGTAGCTTTAGAGCATGTCCTGGAACTAGCGCTTGTAGACCAGGCTGGCCTCGAACTGTCCACCCGTCTCTGCCTCCCAAGAGCTAGGATTAAAGGCGTGTACCACCACGGCCTGGCTAAGGCAAATCCTTCTGATACCTCGTAGCAGCCTTCTCATCACCCAGACTCGACTCTAAACCAAAGGCTGAAATATGTTTAATGTAAAACTTAGCTGCATTTTGAGTAATTAAATTCAGCTTACTAGTATTGAAATTATTCTTTTTATTCAACCATTCTGCACAGAAATTTATTGAACTAACCTCCGATTTATAGCTGCAGATCTCTGTGATGTCAAAATGAGTTGGTTAAATGGGTGTTTTGTGCTTTTCCACAGATCACTGTACTCTGGAAAGAACTGATTGATCCGAGACTGATTATTGACTCCTCAAGTAGTTTCTCAAGTAAATAGGATGTCTCCACATAACCTCCAACCTCGTGGCCTCGCATTCCATAAGAATTGTTTGTGACCGTGACCATAGCCTGAAGTTTCAAAAAGAAGATCAACTATCGTTTGGACTTTCTGTTATCTTCCCTTTACCATACTAGGAAAAGAATCTACCTCACCATTTAGAGTAACATGGGTGTTCGTTCGTAGACCTTTATTTCCCTCGGCTAAATTCAGTAGTGCCATTGAAAACTGCCCTGTGGGCAGACCAATATGGCAGTGTGCTTGCTCTCTTCCACCTCTGGCCCGCCAGTAGCAATCGTCAGTAGTTTACAGTACACATGTGAGCTCGTGCTGTGCATCTTGTGTTATTTTTCTTTAGGGTCACATTTAAAATACTAAGGCATGTTTCTTGACCTAATTTTTTCACATGTGAATCGCTCTGTAAGCGCGGGGCGTCTCACGCATTCCGAGTGGTTTATGCTCATCGTCCTCAAGACCTGGGGGAGGCGGGTTCAGTGCAGAGAATGAGTTAAGGAACCTTTCACACTTTTCCAACGGTAAAATGCAGGATCCCCAGGGCCCTGTGTGGAAAGCAGTGGCAAGACAACTGTGTTGTATTGCCTGGAAGAGAGCAGGCCTCCTACTGCCAGAGGCTGGCCATGAACCTCAGACCGGCGGCAGGTGGCTTTGCCACAGGATGCCAGGAGCCTGGCTCAGCATGCTGAAGCGAGGATCTTGAACAGAAATTTTCTTTTCTGTTACCACTCAGCAAAGCTAAAGGCTGAATAAAAACTGGGAAATTGCCGGGCAGTGGTGGCGCACGCCTTTAATCCCAGCACTTGGGAGGCAGAGGCAGGTGGATCTCTGTGAGTTCGAGGCCAGCCTACAGAGCAAGTCCCAGGACAGGCTCTTAAAAGCTACAGAGAAACCCTGACTTGAAGAAAAAAAAACCTGTGAAAATTGCTTTCTTTTAACAAAAACTTGGATCCCTCCTTCAGCTTTGCAGATTTTTAAATAAAATCATATTGAACTCAATTTCCAGGCTGAGTTAGCATGTTTGAGTTTTTCAAGTAGTCTTATTGGTTTATAATCATTTTCATAACACGGCGGTTTACTTTACACCTGGGAGGCAAAGATAAGTTTATAAGTTCAGGAACAGCCTGGGCTACATAGCAAGATAGTGTCTCAAAAAGAGTTCTCATCATTTGTTTTTTGACTCAAGTCTGCTGTCAAAAGTGTGGTTTAGCCGAGTTCCGTATGATCTGGAAGCTGCTGGATCTGTGAAGATGCTGTTCATTTAATCTGCAGAATGTCAAAGTGTGTGTTTGCGAGTGTGTAAGTTTTACTCTAGGAGGACAGCTCAGCCCTAAGTGGGGGGACTTCAGCTGTGGGGCTCTGTGTAGCACAGTTTCCAGGACTTGGAAACTGAGATACGTAGTCAGTATTGGCTGGGCCCAGAGGTGTTGACCGGGTGTGTTTATCAGCGTATGAATTGCCCTGCTCTCTATACTGGTAAATAGAGTGCACAGAAACATGATAAAATCAGTTTAGGGTTCGTAAGCTGCCTTCTGAAAAACACAAGCGTTTAGAAAAAAAGCACCTGGGAGGCAGAGGCAGGCAGATCTCTGTGAGTTCAAGGCCAGCCTGGTCTACAAGAGCTAGTTCCAGGACAGGTTCCAAAGCTACAAAGAAACCCTGTCTCAAATAACAAAAAAACAACAACAACAACAAAAAAAACAAAAACAAAAAACACACCAATCTTTTGCTTTATTTGTATATACACAGCCATGTGTGGACCTGGGTCCCCTGTGAAGTATTTGTGTGTTTTCTTTATAAAGGACTGGGAAAACACTGGTTTTACAGAGACCTGAGCTAATTCTCACCATGTGTCCGATGCCTTGAGCACCGACTCATCCCCCCCCCCACAAACACACAATTTAAATCTTTAACATACACACAAAATCTTTAAAAAATAAATAATTTTTGACACAGGGTCTAGCTATGTAGCCCCAGCTGGCCTGGAACTCTTGCATTGTAGACCAAACTGGTCTCAAATTCACAGAGATCTGCTTGCCTCTCCCTCCTAAACTCTGGGATTAAAGATGTGAACCATCATGCCTGACTGAAAATAAAATCTTTCAAAAATCAAAATAAGGTAGAAAGGAATAGGATAGTGGAGACCTCTGGCCTTTTATTTTTTTGTCCCCTTTCTTTTTTGACTTTTGAGACAGGGTTTTCCTGTGTAGTTTTGGAGCCTGTTCTAGGACTCACTTTGTAGACCAGGATCCAGGCTGACCTCAAACTCACAGAGATCCACCTGCCTCTGGAAGAGCAACCAGTGTTCTTTTTTTTTTTTTTTTTCAAAATGATAACGTACCTTAAAGCTAATTTTATTTAATAATTAGCATTTTAAAAGCAAAAGTATGGACCAATCCATAAACGATGAAACTATGTAAATCTTATTAAACAGCAAACTCTGTAGTAAAGAAAATCAGAGCACATTGTTGGATAAGTCATCAAATTTCCCTTCTCCAATAAAAATAGGTATGGCATTATATCACCCCAAGAAGAGTTAAAAGTACACAGCACTACATACATAGAGAATAGGTTTTCATCCTGATGAAATGCTTCTGTCAGTCAATATTTCATAAGGTGGAAACCATGGTTCCCACCTTTAATCACGGAGCCATACCCACCAGCTCCCAAATTTTTTTTTAATGTGTATGGATGCTTTGTTTTCATGTATGCCTGTGCATTGTGTGCATGTGCTGTGCCCACAGAGGCCAGAAAAGGGCGCAGTATCTCTTGGGACTGGCGTTACAGACAGTTGTGAGCTGCCATGCGGGCGCTGGGAATTGAACTCCAAGTTCACTGCAAGAGCAACAAGTGCTCTCAACCTCTGAGTTAACTCTCCATCTCCAAATTCAGAATATTGTTACAGCACCTGGAGAGGCTGAATTCACAGAGCTGGAGAGATGGATGGATGGCTCAGCTTTTAAGAGCGTCTGTAACTCCAGTTCCAGGAAATCCGATGCCATCTTCTGACCTGCACGGGCACAAAGTATACATGTGGTGCACATACATGCAGGCAGAACAATCATATGCATAAAATAAACCTAAAAAATTGTTAAATCAAATTCACAATTCAAAGCTTTATCATGGAGAATTTTCCATCAAACATTGACGAAGCACAGCTCTTTCAGAATAAAGGGCATTTTTAAGTCACATTAGTGAAGATAGCACCTATGACCCAGCTGGCACCACCTAGCATGTCTAATGAGTTCCTAGACCACCATCTCCGTGGATCACAGTAGGCATTGTGTCCTCTGGACACCCATGTGTTAAAGGTTTGCATCCACAAGGTGGTGCTGTTGAGAGGCGGGAACTATTGAAAGCCTGTTGTCATTGAGGGAGGGTGCTCTATCCTGACAGGCTCTCTGACTGCCAGGCATTCCTGACACAAAGTGCTTCTACACCACAGATTCAAAGCAAAGGGACCAACTGATCATGAAGTAGAACCCCGAACAAAGGAGTCGAGGTTCACCCTTTCCTGTTACTCTGTCATCTCTTGCATTTCATCACCATGATGAGATGCTAACCCCACATCTGTAAAAATATTAGCAAATCCTGACTGTGGTTGTAGTTCAATCTAGTGCTTGCCTAAAACATACAGAGCCCTAGGTTACAACCACAACCCTCATAAACTGGGCATGGGGATACATGTCTATAATTAGTACTTTGGAGGTGGAGGCAGGAGGATCAGGTATTCAAGGAGAGAGAGGAGGAAGGAAGAGGAAAAGGAAGAAGGAAGAAGAGGGGGAGAAAGAAGAGAGAAAGAGAAAGAAAAAGAAAGAAAGAAAGAAAGGAAGGAAGGAAGAGAGAGAGAGAGAAAGAAAGAAAGAAAGAAAGAAAGAAAGAAAGAAAGAAAGAAAGAAAGAAAGAAAGAAGGGCCTGCAAGATGGTCCATCCGGTAAAGGTGATGCAGCCACGCCTGACAGCCTGAGTTTTGTCCATGGGATCCACATGGTCAAAGAGGAGAACTTTCTCCCTCAAGTTGTTCTCTGACCTTTGCACGCAAGCTCATGCTGTAACAAGGACACACTCTTGTGAGCACACACACACACACACACACACACACACGCACGCACACACGCGTTAAAAATTTAAAGACAAAGATTGGCAAATCAAACCCAGCAATATATAAAACGATAATATTTCACTCCTTTTGGTTGTTCCAGGAGTGTGTGTTTACATTCAATTTGTGCGACTAGTCCCACTTACCAGGTAAGGTAGAAAAGAGCCCTGTGTTGACCAAGCAAATGAGAGTTCCTCGATCAAAACATCACAGTTTGGGAATAAAACAAGAGCTTGGTTAGAACTCTTTACACTTATTTTTTGGTTAGGAATAACTTCAGTGGAAGCAGGAGGAATTGGAGGTGAGCCTGGGCTACACAATGAGAGTTTCTTTTTCAAAATCTGGGGAGGGTGGGAGTTTGTTTTTAAATGTTTTGGGGACATGGACATGACAGCACATTTAAGAAAAAACTAAGCTCAGAGACCTAAGATTCTCAGGGACCTCCCTTTCCCCCTGTGCCTATTCACAATAGGTCTTTGTCATCTTTGCCATTTAGACATCTCTGGCTGTCCCCCCCCCCAACCTTTCATCATGTTAACTTCACATTCTAGCACTAAGTGACATCCCAGGCCTCTCAACGTCCTTCACAAGGGTTCAAGGATTCAAAGGTGCACGTTCATACCACAGCTGACGTTTCATGAGGACTGCGCTGGTGGGAATAACGAAGCTGTATTTTCAGGCGAATGAGGCTTCTTTACCTACTTTCCCCAACCTCCAGATACGGAGCAGGGATCCTAACATGGTTGCTAGGCACCTAACATGGTTGCTAGGCATTACCTGGATGGGGCCATATAGTTCCCTCTTGACCAACTGGGTCCCATTTGACTTTGGAACATTGCCGGACTGAAGATACCAGTTATGATGATAAACAAACACACCCTATCAGCCAGGGGCAGTCCCTGGCCTGCCACCAGCCCTTTGAAAAGGTTAACAGTTCATGGTCTTCATCACCGCCTACATCCGACGTGTTTACACACAGACGTCATCTATACTAAAAGGTTCGGGAGCTATTCTGGCTCTCCCAGCTTCACGGATAAGAAATCCATGCCCTTGAGAGGAGCTGGCTTCTCGGGACACACCTCTTCACTGCTAACCGTGTTAGAAGGCAGAACTGGTTGGCCCCTACCCTTTCAGCTCTTGCTCTGTGGCATGCATGCCTGTTGTGGAGGTCTCCGTGACTCTCTCCCCCTTGGAATTTGATCAACATGGAGTAGGGCTCTCCCAATGATCTTCATTTGTTCAATCTGCCTTTCCCAACCACGAGCCTAGAAAGAGAGTGCCACATTCTGCCATGAATCACCACGCTCCTCCAACCATGAAAATTAGGTTAGGGGTGGATTTTTTTAGTGTTTGTTTCCTGGAAGCTGCTTTGCACCTCCCTTGGGAGGAAGCGTTTTGTAGTAGGAAATATTTGCCTTCTGGAAGCAGATAAGCCCCATGCCAGCACCCATTGTCTTAGCTGTATTGCTAGGTTCTCTGAGCCTGATTGTTTTCTCTGTAACCTGGGATGATTTTTTTTTTTTTTTAATTTTAAAAAAAAAAGAAAAAATATAAATATGGAAAAAGAACAAGAACTAGAACTAAAAAAAAAGAAAAAAAAGAACTCAAAAACACGAGATCCACCTCTCTCTGCCTCCCAAGTGCTGGGATTAAAGGCGTGCGCCACCACTGCCCGGCACCTGGGATGATTTTATCTCTTTTGAAGGTTATCGTAAGAGGGGGTCTCAGTGTCTCGTCTCACCCCAGCATCCTTTCGTCTTCTTTTTCCATGCAGACAACAACCACCAAAATATGAACTAGAATAGATGGGACGATAGGTCCTGGGGAAGTAGAAGCCTGTGTGTGTAAATTAGGGGAACCAGCACTTAGAATGTTGAGTTCAGCAGTTTCAAGCTCGAATTCCA